GTAACAGCTGCAAAACTGATTTTTGTGCTCTAAGTTCTGGTCCAAAACTAGGACACTGTGCTATTTTGCTGTTGTCACTGAACTGATAAAGAATACCAATCAGAATATTAGTAATTAAGAAACTTTTAATTCTCTAGCAGGTAGAAGAAAACAGTGTGCACGTGCATGCTCACAGCCTCTTGTTTTTTTCTTCCAAAGATGTCTGTCTCTGATACGAGAGTGGCAAGTCATCCCATAAGGAAAAATCAGCTGAAGACCACAAAATGCTGAATCTTTCTTTGATCATCAGTTCATCCTGGAATGTGCTTTTGCTTTTAGTAGCTTTTCTATTTTCTCACAGGCACAGAATAGTACTTATCTTACTTCATAGGCAGCCATTATGTCTGTTTTATCAGTGTACAAAGCACAGGAGAAATAAAATGATAGGTGCCCTGATAAGTGAAGGAGGATAAACTTTTGAAGTCTACAAATAATGCAATTCCTTTTGGCTGATTGATTTCAGGTAAGTGCAAAGGACACAACCTTTTTTTTTAAACTGAAAGGAATGCATCTGAATGATGGATAACTGCAGTTCAAGTAGAAACACTTTTATAAGTTGCTTTATGGAGAAGTGGCTCACTCTGTCCAAGACTCCTGCTTTTATTCAGTGTAACTGAATGTTAGTTCATTAGATTGATAAGAAATCTGTAAAGAAGTAAAAAACTCTCCTTCTACAACTCTATTTGTGGCAGTGTGCATGTGAGCTGCTCGAAAAGAAAAGCTCTGTGCAAGTTAGCTACATTGCTATTTGGTAGCTTGGAGCAGTATCAAGGATGCAGCAGACCTGTCATTGCAATACTTATAATACCCATACTAGCCAGCTAACAACAATCATCATATCTCTCTTGCTCCCTCTCACCCTCACGTGTGCCAGAAATAGGCAGCATTGGTGCTCTGGTCATGTTGTTTAGTCTTGGAGGACCACATCACGTGCAATCTTATCCTTACTTCATTGCCAGAAAATTAGACTTGGCTGCAGGTGGGCCCAAGGGCTGTGTCTTGCAATTTAACACTTATTAAGTATTCAAGGAAACTTACCGTGCATTTGAAGTCTTTGTCCCTCTTCCTTCCCTTCTTGCTTTCTTCTATTGTAACATTGCATACGTTTTCCTGTTACGCAGTAACTATTTTTTTTTCTCAATGCTATTTTCAGTGTGTACCATTAAAGTACATATCCTGCAACATAACGTAAGCTTCTCCTTTTGAAGATGGTGAGTATTTATGGATGGAAACATTTTAGCCCATACATTATGCTCTCTTTTTTTCATCTTTGGTTTCAGTTATTTTTGCACTTTTGTGTTTTAGTGCAGCAATCATAAATCCTTCCTTCTCCTCTCAGTATACAGTATGAGAAGCCAGGATCACAGTGTAGTCATCTTCCTGACTAATGCTACAGAACAGCCAGTGAGAGCAAAAATGCCCCCGCATGAGGAAGTGAGAATTATGTGAAGAGAGAGAAAGAAGCCTTAGTGGACAAAAAGCCTTGTGTAAGATCATGTTAAACCAGGAATGTGTTAAACAGGTGAAGATTGTTTGCAAGATACTTTGATTGTATTAATTTTACCTTCATTTTTAGTGGTAGATTGTAACTTGGAATACAGACCTATGTAGAGGAGGAATTCTAGCTCTAGTCAGGAACACAATGTCTTGGGACTAGGCAGGCAAAATCCAGAGATATTTGCTGGATTAAGCAAGTGAAGCCTTTGGGAACTGAGAAGAGTTAAAAGCAAATGGCTACCAGCTGGGAGCAAAGCTATAATTTTGTTGTGGGATGTGGTGGAAAGGGACAACTTTGCTCGCCATTTGAGCTCTGCCCTTATATGCACAGGTTCTTGCCCTTGCAGGATGAAATTTCCACCTACTTACTAATTTGTTAGCTAAACTTGGCTACATCTGCCTTGAAAAAACACAAACAACAATATAAAGCCATATATTATTACAATTTTAAAGCCATGTATATTAGTGCTGGATTATAGATCTTGGTTTTTTTCCCCTGATAAATTCTTGAAATACTTTTCTTTATTCCCTCACTTTTCCACTAGCCTTAAGTAGGATATTACAGCTTCAAACAGTAATGCATTGTAAGCTGTAAAAACAAAGAAATTGAAATAAATTCACTGGAATTTATCCACTGTCAGATACTAAGTATTTTATTTTGCATTTTCCTTTTTTAAATTATTGACATGCAAATCCAAGAGGATACGTCTAAGTACTTGTATGATCTGATCAATAATTTTATTATTCCAATATTAACATTTCTTAGCCTAGAAATTAGAGAATGGTATGTTTTTCTTAGGTGTCAAGACCTGATTCAAAGATAATTGCTTAAAGAGAACAACCCTTATTGAATCTATCAAGGTCCTACTGTTTCTTTCAGAATAAAATAAAATTTGATTCTCAAACAGAATTTCAGGGTTTGTTTTTTTTTTTTTTTTTGTATAGTTCTACCCTAGCATGGCACGTTACCATTGCCTAAGACCACTAAACTAAGTAGAAATCATTCATAAGGACAGCAAGGAACAGCACAACTTTTTGATTTTCTCAGTGATGCTTCCTCACTCTTGCTTCTCCCTTGTGAAATAAGTAGGCATAAGAGATGTTATTGCCAGAAGAGCGGGTAGATTTGTGTTAATGCCTAAGAGCAAATGTCAAACTAGAAATGTCAAAGTCTTGTCTGCTTTCGAAGTATATAACCAGATAGATTATTATTTTGCTGTATCCTTTCTTTGAAAACTTTATCATAATCCTCTACGCAATCTTGTATTGGGCACAAATACTGTGCTACGTGACAATTTCTTCTAAATTTAGCAGCAAAGCTTTGTAACGTTAGGCAGGGAAAAGCAAAAGAAAGTTTGGGTGGATAATTTCCCTGAAAACAATGTCTTTCAGAAATAGTCATACCAAAGAAATGCTTGGAGCTGCGAGTCACAGCATTAGTGGGCTGAACCACCATTCTGTCCAGGTATAGGGGCATACATTTTCAGGATTAGTCAAATGTAGAAGTATTATTTGTAAATAAAAACATATTTTAGGATATAGGGCTATAATATCTGAAAATATGAATTCTAAAGAAAAATCATGACTTGACTGGAAGAGAGATTGACTTATGAATAACTTTGTTCTTTTTGAGAATAGTTTTAAAACTCACTTAAAATGTTTTCTTGAAATGCAAAAGAAATGGAAACCAGACTTTCTAGAATAAAGCATCAGGCACCCATATTCAAGATCTCCACCATACAGATAATGTCTGAGAAGTGGTGCTTCTGCTGCCTTCTACAGTCCTTTCATTTTGCATGTACTGTTGTCTGGCTCTTTCATACCAGCTTCTGTCCCTTGTTTTCTAGCTCTACCCTTGTTGTCTCTTTCATGTCTTTTTTTAACTCGTGCCTCTGTCCTGTTCTTGCCTTCCACTTTTTTTTGCTTTCTCTCTCTTTTTATTTCCTCTTCTTTTTCAGAGCAAATTCCCCTCCCCCCCGTCCCCCATCTGTTCCTTCTGACTTACAGTTTCTAAGATATATCACAACCATAGGCTATTCCTTCTGAAAAAGAAGTGGGACTGGATGGTAGTTAAAGCCAGGTATGCTGGTACTTAGCATTAACATTTAAACATTATTTTTCCCCTTCATACAGCATTTACCTACTATTTCTAAGTTTTCTTGAAGAATTATCCTAGGGAAACATTTTGATGTTAAGTGCTTTTTGGCCCTTAAAACTGCTCTGGTAGATGAATTAGGGCAATACATTCATTTTTAACCAAAAAGACGTTTTTTCCATCAAAAGTCTCTTTGAAGGATAACTTCACTTGAACTCTCTAAGGAAGCTGTATTCCCAAAGAGTTACATTTTATCAGCTGAAATATTGCATCCTAGTTTGCTGCAGCTGGTATCAGAAAAACATACATGTAGCCTTAATGTTAATCTCTACTCAGCACTGCAGGGTAATGGACCAATATATGTGCTATTGAATAATGGAGACTACTGGTAGAGCTTTGCCCGTTCAGCTCCTGAGCCAGCATGCATGGAAATTAGCAGATGGGCTTCTCTTATATTCATCGTATATCTCTGTTAAAGGCTTAGGGCATGATTGTTATTGTGGGATCTCATTGATAGCTACGCAAAGCCTTTGCAAAGTCAGTTTAAAATGACAATAAATTAGAACGGTAGCTTTTACCATCTTTGCACAGGCATTAGTGACAGCATGAGTGTTAAAGAGTGTATGTTCTACCTTGGCTTTGGGAGGATGTTCTTTTTAAGAATATTTAAAAAAAAATCACTTAAAATATTTTCTTGAAATGCAAAAGACATGGAAACCAGACTTTCTAGAATAAAGCATCAGACCCCCATATTCAAGATCTCTACTATACACGCCTCAGTAGGAATGTGAATAGAAGCACAAAGGCTCAGGAATCCAGGGAACAGGAAGTATGAGCTCCAGAGAATTCCTGGGAGCTACATTTTCACAATGGGTGCATCTTTCTGTGTTTGTAAAAGGTCTGGGTAAACCAGTGTTGTCTTGTTTTTACTTTCTGTTGGGTAGCTACTGCTTTTGGAATATATGGGCAGGCAGCAGCCATTGGGCTGCTTCAGTCTTCCAACCTCCAGGTTTCCCAAACACAGATTTTACACCCTGATTAATAATTGGATTAATTTTATCCTGGAATTTAAAAAGGTTAATTTATTTAAACCTATTGTCTCTATACTACTGTAGGGCAGAGCTTCTTAAGTGGTTCTCACTCCCCATAGCCTCAATCAGGAATGTACTACCACTGCACTGCCCAGCTTCTCTAGACTTTCTGTTTCTTTGAACTTACAAAATTTTTTTCTCCTTACTAAAGACAAAAGCATAGTTTTTTTTTAACATGTTTGGTTTTTAAAAGCATAATCGTTTTTGGATTCTTAAATATTTTGAAGGTGCCGGTTGTAATGCAACTATCATCTATAGCTTATAACAGAAAAGGATACTTATGGTCAAAGCCATACCATATTCTGAAAAGCCAGGCACTCTCAGCTTTGGTTGTATTTTTATCCAAGTTAGATGCGCTCTGCAAAATAGACGAATAAAGTAGAAAACATTTTTATAACATAAATAAAACATGGAGTTCCAATATTAAAAATACATGTCAAACCAAATTACAATTAACTGTGCGGTTTTTTGTTGTTGTTTTTTTAACTTAAAAACCTTCTTTGGCACACAAATGTCATCTCTGTGAATTGGTTCAGGAGGAAATTCGCTCATATAGCACACTTCTCATTGCTATATACTCATAGGAAGAGTGCAGCATTTACTTTCATTAATGATTCCAATTTTACTAAGAAGCACTATATTCTGCAATCAATAAAATTATATTTCGATTTAATTGCCATTGTGGGATTACTTCAGTTTACTCCTGCAAGATCAGATGCTATTTGTGTATGTCTAATAAAATTTCATACCCTAAGGGATCGTGATTTTCTAATAATTATGACACTACTTTCCTTTCTGTGCTTCTTTCCAAGGGGAGAGGAACACAACTTGAGTCAACAAGACTCAGAATGCTGTGTTCCATTCTCCAAGCTAATTCTGGGGCACGCTGCACAGGTAGATAGATGGACTATCCTTTTACTCAGGGTCATAATTTGGAATAATATGCTAGAAACAGTCATCTGTACAAAGACAGTTAGTTGTACTCCAGGCATCACATCAGTACTAGCCGAAGAATTAGCATCAGGATAGAATTAGGAATGGGATTGCCAGTTCTCTAAGGATATTTCATTATTGTCTTGTTTGTGTTTTGCTGCAAGTTAGATTATTTTTTAGTGGGAATATTTTTCTCTATGCAATTGTAAACCAATTTATCTAATAATTTTTATATTTTAATCCAATAATATATTAAGAATGTGATTTCCTATTATACATAAACATACATGAAAATGGGCTGATGATAATAATGTCAATGGTCTCATCCTCAAAACTGCAAGGTCTAGTTCTAAGCCAGCCTGTACATGGGAACTTCTACATTGATTTCACTGAGTTTTGAATAAGGTTATATGGAGACAGAAATCATATTGTAGCTGTTACAATTTTGCTAATGTCAAAGGTAGTCACAGTGAATTTACAAATGCACCAAATAGGCCAAATACCGTTCTTGTAACCTGTTTCCTTGTTACTGACTTGAGTATTTTAGTAACTCCCCCTAGCAACTGGGGAGGCTGGAGGAGGGAAGAAGATGGTGCTAATCCCTAACCGATCAGCAGAGCATTCTTCGAAGCCTTTAATATCTAATAGTGCATTTTGTCAAAATAGATACAGATTGGGAAAAGGGCTGAAACATATAAGCAGGAAGCTTGATGGTAGGTAAAGTCTATGTTAGCTCAGAACAACAAGAACACTGAAAGAAAGAGGGTGAAGGACTAAAGTAGACAGGAATAGAGGTGAGAAAGAGGAGGACAGGCATGGAAATAGACATATCATGGAGTGGGCTGCAGCAAGCAGTCAATGAGTACAATGCAGAGGAAGGCTAGTTAAAAGCATAGAAAGCTCTGTAAATGGCCTATGCGTCCTTGGTTTGACTACCAGTGTTTCCAGAAGCCATAGTGTTGTTGGTTAACTCCTCTTTCCAAACTCATTGTATATCTAGCTTCCTCTTGTGGGAACAAGATTCCTCATATGGGAAGATGAATTGTTCCCGTATGAAAGCAGTGGACAAAAAAGCCTACACCAGAGTATAATTCTCCAAGAATTTGCTGGTCCTGACCTGGGCCTGCTTTTATTTCTTGCACTAATGTTTATTGCTGCTTTGCTTTGTCCCTGCTGTGGTGGCCTGTAACTCTGGCTTGTTTGAGCTCTGCGAGTTTGACATGTGTTGCACCTTCTTCCTTTTGTATATATAATCTGTGTTGTGTTACCAGCTTTTGTGTTAACAGGAACCTGGGTAGTTATCTGTAGTGCAGCTCCTGCATAAACAGTACAGTCAGAGGATGGCAGGAGATGTCGGTGTGAATGCTTTTGGGCTATTGCACATCCTTGGATCCTATGATCTTAAAAAGTAACTTTTCACTTTCCCTACAGTTCAGAGAGGTAGAAGTAGGGGAGACAGTCCACCACCTCTTCTGGACAACAATTTTCTCTTAGGGAAGTGAGAATGCCAGTGTTTCTCATCTCTTACTTGGGAATTACCCATATGGAGATTATTCTCATTAGTCACTTGCAATAAATTCACCAACCAGCTGGCAGATGATGGGGAAAGTATAAATAATTTCCTTATTATACTAATAAAGGGACGGTTAAATAAACTATGAATATTAGTTTGACAGAGATCATATTAATAGGTGTTTTGCAGGCTATTTAGTTTTCTCTGGAGATCAATACTATATCTACAACATTTTTTCCAAAATGCTTGTAGAAAATATATTCTTACACTGTCTCAATAGAGATTAACATAGCGGAATGTCTGAGATACGTAAACCATCTGAATAAAATATGCTATTAGATATCTTTGTGTATGGAAAATTAGCTAAAAAGCCCACTGCCATAAAAGCTTTTGTCTTTTTTTAATAGATCAACTTTGTAACTCTTAGTGTTTAAGTATCCTGCATTCTACTTACCAGAGTTAGCTTTTGGTGTTTATACTCTGAATATATGTGATATGCAGTAAACTGCTTTTGTTTATTTTTATATATTATTTTCTATACAATAATATATATTATCTGTAGTACGTATTATGTAATTAAATTCTTTCAGAACTGAGTTATAACAGTTCATCAATAAATAAATGGATATGAATATGAGGCTGTTATTTCTTCTGTTTATGCTTATGTTGTGATAATGATTTAATGATAAATACATTTAAGGCAAGGCAGAACTGACACAAAGAAACTGAGAGATGCTTTTGTTGGATGAGGTCACAGTATGGTGAAGTCCAGACGCTAATTATACATTAAAAGGCTCTACACCTTTGCTGGGGAAGAAGCCCTGGGTTCCAGGTCTTACAACTTGACTTGGAATTTGTTGCTAGCTGACAGCCAAAATTACTGGTTGAGGCAGTCCGGAAGATAGCATAATCAGGAATCCAGAAACAATGGTGTACATTGAAGTCTTGACTAAATAAATCTAATTCTTTCAGAGAAGAGAAAATTAAATTTGTGGAAGGGAAGAAGGGAGATCGACATGAAGAGGTAGGAAAGGGAAAGGGTTATGGAGCCATATAGCTGCTATTGCCTCTGATAGTGCTCATGAGGTGGCAGGTGTTTAAGGCTTTTTCTGCCTCTAAAAAATCCAGGTCTGTTTACAGATATGGATTCAGAGGTTCCCGCATACAGATACCCTGTGTCCTGGTAGTTAGAGTGGTCACAGAGGAGATAGATTCAAATCTCTGCAGCAGACCTTGTGGCTTCCCCGTTCTGGCTGAGTACTCTGCCTGAGAAGGGAGGAGCCTAGAGGCTTATTTTCCACTAATTTTTCTGTCATTTAAACATCTTATTCTTGAGATGTTATTCAGTTCTTATTTCTGGTACAATCCCCTTGAAGTTCCAATTAACAGCACTGAGAGCTGGCATGTGGTTTAAAGTTCATCTGGGTGAGAGCTTTAACTGGCAGCGGGAGATATTGGCACTTGATATGTTATTTGTCCAGGAATATATGCAAGAAAAACAACTGCTTTCACTGTGAAGACACACTAAGATAGGAAGAAAATGAGAAGTAGGTAAACTAAGTAAAAACATCATATTAGAAATAAAGGGAAAGAAAAAAGACAACAAAGAGGAATGAGAGAGGGATGAGATGAAAGAGAAAATTAAAAGATATAACCTGATGTAAATCGAGTAACTGTGATGGGTCCTGAGTTAAAACAAAGATGGCTATAGAGAATGCAGCAAAGGTCTGAATTAGTAAAACATTGAGATGTCAAATACAAAAAAGTCAGACAAATGAAAATAGAATACTGTAGCGGGGGGAAAGAATAATCAGAGCAGCAAAACTATCTTCCAAGATAGCATTCCTTATAGTAGTAAATTTTTACTTGGACATGATAGGGCATGAAAGGTGTTATATTTATTTACACCTGCTGTGTTGTATTGCTGAGTTTTGTCAACAGAGATAGGTGTTAATTCACAGGGCACAGCTGGGCCATTGGATGTGTTATTGTTATTCATAAACATGATTATTTTCATTTTTAATAAAAGGAGAAAATTAGATGCCTATAGACTTTTGAAGAAATCAGGTTCTCACAAAATGTGCATTCAGTCAATTTTATACTGCATTCAGTGTTCTCTGATCTTTGATAATTAATGAATTCTGCAAAGTAGAAGATTTCTGAAATGATATATCTTTAAAATCCAAAAAAGAACAGATTAAGATTAAGGTTCTGTGTCCTGGCCTTGGTCAGAATTTGGGCAGAGGCATTGCAGGAATTCCGACCAAGACACTTAGGAGAGTGATATTAGCAATTAGTCCCCTCAGAATAAATCAGTATCTTGGCATGGTGCAATGGAGTGTTATGCTAGACCTTTTAATAGCGACTGAGTTGTAAAATTAAGGATATGGTCAGATATGAATAATATTATTCTTCTTTTTTCCAAAGAAACATTAGGATACTTAGGCACCTGAATTCAATTCAAATTCAATGAAAGTTGAGACCCTAAATGCCTTCAAATACGTGCAAATGTGTAAATGTTAAGAATACTCAGTGTGTAAGATATCATTTAGGCAGAATTTTGATGTAACTTTAATGTATTTTCAAGTGAATACAGTATCTTATTCGTGTCTTGCCCGAACTTATCTTCTACATTTTATATCACTGTTGGGTTATTTCAATTTCAGTTCCAGTGGTGCAGTCTGAAAGACTGCATGGGATGGTATTACCTAGAAACAGGAGCACAGTGTTAGGCACTTTTTTGCTTTGGCAATTTATCAACTTGTAGCATTGCTTCTCCCTAGTCTTACTGAATGCAGTATAAAATTGACTGAATGCACATTTTGTGAGAACCTGATTTCTTCAAAAGTCTATAGGCATCTAATTTTCTCCTTTTATTAAAAATGAAAATAATCATGTTTATGAATAACAATAACACATCCAATGGCCCACGTACTTACCGTGCTGAAACATGTTACATCTGCGTATTGACTCTCTATAGATTTCTACTGTTCCAGGTAGTGAGGCATTTGAAACAATGTGTATGACAAAAAAGGGTGACAGATGAACAGCTGCAGCTTGTTAAATAGCCTGCTTTAGTTTAAAGTTTTCAAGTTAATAATGTACTTAGGTTTCCATGTGAAAAATATTTTCAGAAACCTGACCTACTAGAACTGAACACTACACATACCCCCTTTTTATTCCAGGCAATTAAACATTGTTCTGAGATGTCTCATTTCCATAAATGCAGCGTTTGGAAGGTGATAAATATTTGGATATATCAAGGCAATACTTCTATTATTTTGTTTATTAGACCTCTCAAGATATCTTTGCATTTATTTATAATTTACTTCAAAACTCTAACATTTTTAGTTACAAAATTTTCATGAGTGCATGCACATTGAAAAAAAAAATCTCCTCTCTTTGTACCTTGTACAATAAAGGTACTTTGCAGCTCCTTTTTATTTTCAACCCACCTGTTTTAAACATTTTCAGCTATAACACTATTTTTGACAAACATGATCTGCCAACAATTGAACAGTTTTTAATTCAGCACGTATGTCTAAAATCCTGACATACCTGGCTTGCAGCTTCTGTTTTCAGATCTTCATCTGGATCTATGCCAACTCTGTTAAAAAAAAACCAACAAAACCAAAGACATATGGTAATGATCTGATATATATTAGAGGGCTTTGAGGGTAGAAATGTTTCTCTTGTGCCACTCATTTCCTACTAGGTGAGAAATGCAGAGAGGAGGTGACAAAACATTGAGATAATTTTTTTAATCAAGGAAGTTCTTAAGTTTTTAGGAAACTTGAGATTTTTTTGAACTGCCACTCATAACACCTGAGATTAGATCTTTACCCTGGCTCTGATCCATATCTGGGGAGAGACAATCAAGTCATTAACCTTTGCTATGAAATTCTTAATTACTGGCAGAAGAGAGGTGTTGAGGAGGAACTGGAGTTAGTGAGGTATGTGGAGGATAGGACTGCAGGGCTCTGGCATTTCTTGACTGTGCTGCATTATGGGTAGCTTGTAGCATTTGGAAAGGGCTTTACTTGGCGTACAAGGTAGGGGGAAGCAAACTGGAGGGGAGAGGAAACTGCAGTGGGTGATGTGCAAGATGATGAGAACCTGGGTGGTGTTTTACTAATACGGACAGGAAAAAAATAAGATTGGCTGTTAAATGTGGTGTGGTGGAAGAACTGACATTCTGAATAGAGCTGATGCTCAGTTCTGAGGAGAAATGTAGCAGAAATGTTATGAGTTGAATGACAGAGGCTTGTGCTCATGTTCACACCAAGAAAGGAAGGAGAGCAGTGAGGGATGTTGAAAAATGAACCTTCTTATCATCAGAATCTGAAGGCCACAGCTAGGGTGACCAACAGCCTCTGAATGCCTCACAAGCTCCCATATAGCATCAGGTCCACTGAGCTAATACAGAATTTACTGATGCAAAGAAAATGTACTCTTTCACTAGATATTCATTTAAGGCTACTTTACTGTTTTTCTGACAGTCTTCCTTCTTGAGTATATTTTTGCTTTTGGTAATAACACATCAGAATAGTTTTAAAAATAATATTTAATGCTTAATAATAATTAAGCATTCTTTCCTGTAAGTATTATGCATATAATTTTATTCAGTCAGAGACAATGACAGGAACTATATGCAGAGTAGATGCTTTTTATATGTAAATACTGAATGGAAGAGAAAAAAAGACTTTTTTTTTTCTATCGTAGCTCTTGAGTTTCAACAAATATGAGTCCTTCAGGCATAAATATTTGTATCTTTTTATTAAAAATAACAATCCTGGTGCTGACTCGACAAGGAGACAGAATGAATAGCTGTTTCTTTTTCTTTTTCTTTTTTTTTCCTGTTCTTTAAATTGCTAGAAAAAGATTCTGATGGTACTAACCTATTCATTACTTTGGAGTAAAGCAAGTTAGGTATTTTCCATTTCATTAAAATGGAAACATTTACATGGGAAAAGAAAAAGAAACATTCCACAGAGGTTTAACCATCTTTCTCACATTGGATTTGTTATTGTCATATACAGAACAGTTGTGTCTAGGGCCTTATCTGTGCTCAGCATTGTAAAACTACATAGTGTGAGACAGCCCTGCAGAGTATACAGGATGTGAAGGCTGAAACAATGGCACAAATGCAGGTGTGATGGTCCCAAATTCATAAAACAGGTCAGAATCAGAAAAACAATCCCAGTCTCCTAAATGCAATTACATGCCCTGTTTATTAGACTACACTTATTCGCTAGACGAGTTTGCCAACACAGAAAAGCACCAGCAGTACAATAGTTAAGGGTCTGCACAGTTCTGGAAATAAAAAAATTCAAAGCATTTACGCATGATAGGTGCAGCTGAAAGGCGAGGCTACAGCACAAACTTCCCCACACTCGGTTCTCCTTAATGAGCTTGACTTGACCTCAAAGAATCAGTCTCCTGGGACAGAAGTAATTTAGCCTTCATGCAGTTCTGAACTTACTGGAGTTGAGAAACTGCCAGTTCTGACTGATTGCGTGTGTTGGAGTTGTGATGTGTTTATTATAGAATGAGCTAAGACAACAGAAAATACTTCACCCGGGACTAAAAGGACTGTAATAGCAAATGTGAAAAAGGGTAGGCAATGGGGCCAATAGGAGCTGGAGTTTCTGGCTGTGATATCATTTCAGCAACAGTGATATAACTACTAACTAATCACACTGACAACAGGGATCCATCGGCATAGAAAAAAATCTGGATTTACAGAGTTTTGCAGAATTTGTGGTGTGCTTAAGCTTCTCTGCATGTATAATATCTAATCCTTATGGTCATAGAGATAGCTAGTTGGTTTGCCTTGTTTATTCTGCAGACAATAGATTATTATATGGCACATATGAAGATACTCACATGAAACCTTAACAGGAGTATTACATTTAAAGCCAGAAAGAACCAGCAAGAAATATCTAATGAAATCATACTTTGAAAAAGAAAAGAAGGTTTCTATGCCACATGAATGCCACAAAGCCACAGATGATGCTTTCCTTTGGTCTAGTCTCTGTTCTTGTTTAAAACACTGGGTCAGATGCCATTGCTGTTTTTCTCATGGAATAGTATCTTGCTATTGGAAATTAGTGTGGATAGCACAATCTTACCTATTGATTTAAAGTCCCTTGGGAAAAGGACCAGATCATTCTTTGCGTTCTATGGGAGAGTTTTTTAATGCATTAAAATAGCGATACATTTTTGTAATAATTTGAACATTAACAACTTTGTTAAGTATGCACTAAGCAGACTCCATTCAGTCATTTCTGAAATTGAAGCTAATTATTTCATATCCAAACACAGGCTTGGGAGCCTAACATCAGGCACCTAGCATTGAAAATCATGGCCTGCTATAATTAACTCTGATACACTTGACATGAACTAGAATGCTATTTTTAAGTTGCAAATGTTGAAAAAACAAAGCATAACAAATTATATGAGACAGTCAAGACAACTGAAATTAAGCACAGATATGCACTTCAAGTTTACATCCTTGACTTCCTCAAAAGACCTGCTAGATCTAATGCTATTGTTTCTAGAATTTGCAAACTTAAAATTTGTATAGATTACTATGAAGGCCTCTAAGAAATACTCTGTTGTTAACATTTGTATAAACATCTTTCCCCTTTTAACCTTCTCAGTTTTCCATTTCTGTGAGAAGACTTAATGCATGGTCAGAAAAATATTTTCTTAGTATTTTTTCTCCCTTCTTGCTGTCAACTTTGTCTCTTTTCTCCTATTATGTTGTTTTACTTCTTGCAGTCTCCCTTTTCCGTCTTTCTCTGTCCCACTTCCCTGGTTGCTCTCTATTCCTTGTTCATTTCTACTTGGCTCTTCTAAATAGTGTATGCTTTTATTTCTGCCTTTCTATTTTTGCATTTTTTTATTCTATACATAAAACACTTAAGATGACTTCTCTTCCATAAAAACAAATGCAATGACTTTTTAATCAGATCTATATTGCAGCAGAGTTTATTTACTCTATGTATTTAGATAGGCTTTAGAAATGTTTTAGATTCAAATATGCTACATATGAAGGAGTTAAAAATCCTGAAAGCTGCTCTGTGTTATTCTTTTTAATTTGGGTCTTTTTTTGGAGCCCTGTGTGTGTGTGTTAGTTTTTAAATAATGGCTATATCAAAACCTGGATTCAGAGATTCTTCGAAGTTGCTATATTCAAAATCTGGAAGTGAAGCTTGTGACTTCAGCTCATCTCTAACAATTAGGCCCAGGCATTGCTAGGGACTGTGCATTAGTCTGCAGAAGTACCCTTTACAGTTGATGGTATTTAAATCCCCATGTGCTACCAGCTGCATCATTTTTTTTAGCAACAGTCAGAATGCATTTGGTAATAAGAGGAGGAATGTGTCACTGAATACAAAGCAGTTGATAACATCTTTTCTGATGTGGTTTGAAATGAAAATGGATGGAAAGATAAATCCCAAATTGTCAGGGGAACCAGTAGTAAGAAATACAAAACCAATCCATAGGAATACCAAGTAGTAAATCACTATTCAGGCATTGCAAACTTTTAATTCCCTCACTTCAAATCACCACAAAGTCAACACTGTAGGATAAAATCTTTGCTTTCTACAGTGAAGCCACAGAAAGACGTATAAACTTATGTCTTCGTAAGGATCTATGCATGCAGAGCAGAACTTTCGGTGTACATACTTAAAAGCGTGATTCTCAGCCCTTCTGCAATTTAAGTGCCAAGAAATCTGTAAATAGAGATATTTCTTTGAAATCTGAATTCTGATTACTGAAATTCTACTTCTGGGCCTGTATAGGCTTTCTGTATTTGCAGAACAGAGCCTGGTTCATGCAAGTTTAATCTCGCTCGCAGGCCCACCTAGTCTAGTTTGCACCTACCATATACTCACACTGGTTAGCTGTGCTCCGGGTGAAGCAGCCGAGACTGTACTTGAAAACACGTCCTGAGAGCACATAGTTGATTCCATCCCCTTTTTATTTAATGACTGATCAATTCAAGTGTCTTGCAAAGAAGTGGGAAGCCTGGTTTCATCAGTTGCCTCAAACTGAGGTGATTCCACACCACACCTCTCAGAAGCGCCAGAAATACTGGCCTGAGAATGATACGGGTGGTGACACCATCCTGATGGCACCTGTCCTGCTGATGCTGCCTTCTTGTACCAAACACCTTTCAACTTCAAGCACCGATGAAGCCCAAAGAAACAGTTGTTTATATGTGTATTATTTAACGTAGCTAATGATTTAATAAACAAAACATCAGGCTTGCGAAAATTTACAAGGGAAATATTTCCTAATGTGAGTAACAGTCTTCCCTAATCTAAGTGTATGATGGTGAATGTGTACTTGATAGAATATGATATTACAGATAAAGGTCAGAATTAGCCATGCCTCCTCTGCTTCCTTTTCTAGATCAGTGGGGAAACAAAGGCAATTCAAGAGGTGAAAAGTCTGGCATCTCTTTCTGTTTCTGGCCCCATACTATAAAATGGGGTTAATAATACTTTTTCCACCCCATTGCTCATGTTTTGTGTATTTAACATGTAAGTGCACATCCTTCATTATCTTTGTACAATATCCAGCTTAGAGCTATGG